TGTGAACTTGGTGATCATTGGTCCGGGGCCGACCCAACGAGCCTTTGGAACGTATGCTCTGTAGTCGAATGCTTTCAATGTCAGGCTATCAAGGCATCCGTTGTACTCTTTCGAACCGTTCAGATGCAGTTTCTTTGGGCTGTCCTTTAACTTGAGTTCGTCAAATGGGTAGAACAGGTTCTTGACAGTGGTTCCTGAGTCGAACGGAGAGATCAACGCACTGGCATTGCTCTTGCAGTTGAAGGTGTATGTAGCAGTCTTATTGTCATTCTGGTACACCAGCCATACTGATTGATTTGCCTGGTCAGATCCCAGATCTTGAACATCTGAAATGATATCTCTCAGAATAGACCACATGCCGGTCTCTGTCTTCGTGCCATAAGAGCCCGGATAGAGGATATCCCTCGTCTGCTTGGACAGGGTCTGTAGCGAGTAACCATCGTTCAAAACCGGATAGTGTTGTCTCATTTGGTACATATGTTTAATGATGTTCCGGATAGGGTGGGTGGGATCGCGGTGGTCGTAGGTCACAGTCATATCATTACAACCATCCCGACCTTTGGTAATAGGCCAGTCATAGTATTGAGTATCATCAATAGCAGAGCATCCATGGGTCTTCCAAGCGGTGGCTGGTGACATTGCTTGACGACCATAAACATAGTTATCTGCGGTCGCGTCTATTATGTAGGAGCCTTGCTCTTCCCCCCAGAGTAGAAGAGGAATGCCAGGCATTTGCAGTGTTGTAATGAAGATGCCCAGAAGATTCCGTTCAACACCCCATTGGATGGCAGGCCAGCGAAAAACGTCCTGGTTCGTGACTCCGTACATATGTCTGGGATCGAATTTCCCCGTATTTGCGTTAATCAAGTCGTTGCTTTGCATCATGACGTTCCAGGCATCCACCCAATCCAGGGGAAGGTCATAGCCTGCAGCCAAATTACCGCTCATGCCGAGGAAGCGCGTAAGGGTGCGATAGACAGAATAGTGGAAGGCAGCACCGTCAATAGCTTCCAATTCGGGGCCGCGCAAGAAATACTTCGAATCAGACTTATTCGTCAACTTGATCGCATCCAAAGCAGAGTCTGGGTATTGGTTGGGCTGTCGACCACGTCCAAGGAAGACTGAGCCCAGATTGTTTCCACCAGTGATTTCACCAGGGAGAAAGAAATTCTCCTTCCCGACACTGCGAGCACATTCCCGGTAGGTATGCGAGATGTCTGCCAAGGCATCTACAGTCGATTGAATAGCCTTATCATAGCGAAAGCCGTCGATGTCCAGAGCTTTGATGATGTTGCAGGAATGAAGCTTGATCCTGTCCCGTACACTGGGATGCCACTCACGTAAACGGTCCTGGACTGAAGCAAACTTGGTCAATTCACGCTGCCAATCTGGATAAACACCAAAAGCTTCAAGGTCTCCATATTGGTCGAAATCACTGTCATAACATCCCACAAGCTCTTTGTGGACGGAACTATCCACTGGATAACCAGTCTCGTTCCAGAAGGCAGGGTAGTCACAGGTTTCATTGTAGGTATTTCCCGGACGGAAGTCGACATATTGACGGTCCGATTTCCAGAGAGTCTTATATTCTTTAACTGTGAATGGCGCCGTCACATTGAGGTAACCTTCAAAGCCGATCAAATCTCCCATGCTGATGAGATATCATTGGTCAATAGTTGGTTCACAGGAGCACAGACGAAGCATGACAGACTTACGTTGCAAGCGTATTGTCGAATATGACATACATTCCACGCTTGTGGATCTCATCGATAGTGTCCCTCCATACTTGAATAGTGCCATAATGCTGGTCGAGAAGTGTCGTGTCCAAGATCGAGTAGCCATCTGCACCCCAAGGCTGGTTCATGAGGATAGTTCCCGCAAGATAGATACCCTATTACAAATGTTTAATAACATGAGCAAAGTCAAATTCATATCAGGAAAAGAGGCGAGTCGATGGTGAGAGGAAAGAAACACAAACCTTGATGCCCATGCCCTGCAGATAATCCAGTGTGTCAACCAAGCCTACTGCGTCACCTCCATGACGCATTTGATTGGAATTGAGATCATGTTCGAAAACAGTGCCGTTAATGTTGTCATTGGCTGGGTCCCCATTGACCCAACGGTCTAACATTATCGTATAGAACGGAAACCGCCAGTTCTTGGGTGACTCCGTATACTTGTGACCCGGCCATGATGGTGGAGAGTATTCGAAAGGACTAGTCGCAGTCTTGTTGACATTGAGGTTGTAATCGACCAGAGATGCCTCGTAAGGCCAGGCTGTTGTTGTTGGTGCGAAGAGCGCAAGCAGCGAGCCTGCGATCCCCCACTTCATCGTCAACGGGCACGAAAAATAAACCGCTCTCTGCTTCTCCCGTACTATATGCTCGGCATATATTCCAAGAAGCTAGCGAGTGTTGACCGGGAGGGTAGCCAACTGGAGCAGTATTTCGTGTAGGGGATGGCCGCTGAGAAATATGCCCAAGGATGCCGTAGTCTGTCTTCCTTCTTATGCTTTTGGGGGGCTATTGTAGGAGGGTGTTAGCGAATCATGGGCAGCAGATAAACCGAGCAAGGAAAAAGATGTACCCACAACAGATGCAGCTGCTGTGGCGGCAACGCAAGAATAGAAAGACAATAAGGGGAGAAATAAAAGAAAAATCAAAAAGAGAAAAAAAAGAAAACCAATATGCCCGAGGATATGTCCGATATCCTGCAAGAATGAAGATCAGAGTGGATAAGTGGGAGAAAGCATCATTGACGATGATATACAAGCAGACAGGAAGCTCAGCGAGGGAATGATATCGCCTGATACAGAAAAAAGAAACGACGATCTTTCCCAACAGGTTGCCATTATGCCGCTCAATGCTGATAACTAGTTCTCATCGGTGTACTACTAGACAAATGGCAAGGCAGAGATGGAGATACTGCCATGACTTGAGAACGGGGGCTTGGGCCATGATTTCCGAGTCCAGCCACCGGAACCTCCGTGATGACTGGGCTCACATCGCCTTGCCATCCAAAACGAGAATTTGCAGATGGCCATTGGCTTCAAGGGAAGATGAAGGTGGGAGGGGGATGCTGGGAGGAGACACGAAGCGAGGACAAGCGGTAGTCAGTCCTGTGTCCTGTATGTACGATGGATGTATGAATGTATGTATCCATGTATCGGAGTGCCGTTCCACGGATACCGACAACCCAGAATCCTTACCACTTGTGGCGATTAGTGGGGCCGGCGGGGATCAGTTACGCTTTCCCATTAGCTGAACTCTGGCGCCATCGGGTACTGTTGATCCCGCTAAGATACGCTCGTTCCAAGTCAGGGCGCCTGATATATCACATCAGAGTCAAGTATCTCACAGTATGAGGCGTTCTTCTCTTCCTTATCACGATGGTCGTTCGGATAGTAGTCAATGCATGGTCCATATCAAATCTGCTTCTTTTTTTGTCTCATCGACGCCAATGCAAGATACAGCGCATGTTCTGATAGTACACTCGATAGCACATGCCTTTCAATAGTAAGTGAGCATATACTCTGAATGCCAAACTGTGTTAGATTGCCTACTTAGACGGATGCTGACTAGGTACTAGCAAGTCAGTAGTAAAAGTGTCTTGCTAGGATACGCGTACTTCCTACTACATAGGGCCTACTATATTTCTCGGCCATCCCGGCTCCTCTACTCCTTGTTTATGTCGTTGATAATATACTATAACGGTGGGAACGCTCGCCTTGCACCCTTGTACCCTCAGCTGCAAGCATGTTCGAGATTAGGCCTCAGCAATACGCGACGGCGATCGTGTTCCACGAGGCAGTCTGGAAAGAAAGCGAAGGCAGAAGAAATTTATGCACTCCCGTACAATTCGTGTTAAATCCGTGCTATATTTAAACTTCAATATCTGCTGACGCACCGGCCTATCAGCAACAATGGCTTGCCCACGTAGTCGCCATTTAGTCATGGTCTGCGCCTTTCACACTCTGTTTATCGCAAGAGAACCAGGCTGATCATACAGGACTGCATGCGCTAAGCCTCAGATACTGGATGCAAGTGGTGAGCGCATTACGGACTGTTGAAGTCCTAGTTTACGAGGACCCCGAAGAGCTTGGCTTGTTCTAGCGGCTCTCTTGGACACGGCAGAAAGCGGGTCAAGGGAGGACTATTGATACTAATCAGTTCGTCGCGTGCGTAATGCTGGGACCCACGACGGTGTAACTGCCTCTGTTGATCGGAACGTTCGGGTTAGCCGAGCAGTTGTAGTTGTCTTTGCATTTATGTCCGCATTGTGATACGTCATTCGATGACTCGCATAGAGATAGACCGTAGTGCTACTTAATTCTCTCAAATACCGAGTACATTGCAGTGACTGCTGGTCAAAAGAAACAGAGTCTATGCCTTCTTGAACGACTAACCATTCAACCTCGAGTTATATTACAAAAGAACATGCTCAAAATTCATGACGCGGTGGACTCTTGTCAGAGCTTTAGCCTCTTATCCCTGCGATCGGCCGCCGGAAGTTAATCGTTGGGTGCTCAGACCATGGAAAAAGCAATGTTGCAGTCCGGTAGGAGGGAAAAATACCTAACAGAAGCAATATACTTGGCAGCTTTCGGAAGTATTAGAAGTGGGAAGGTTGCCACATAATTACCTTTGTCATAGTGTCTGACTATCAAAGTCATTTTGCGTTTATTTTCCCTTGCTTCGTAGCCTCTTAGGTGGGTTCAATCATGGCACAGGAGAAGTTTGGCCGTCTATCAAGTTTGTGCTATTTAGTGATGGCTTACTTCCCTTCCCAGAGCTCGCAATATCAACTTAGGCCATGTATCCTTATAAGGTGCGATCTTCATGCAAGGAGGATAAGCTACTAACTGGGCGATTCCAAGAACCACCCAATGATGGGGTTTCGTCTAAAGTTATAGTTTCCTCCTCAGAGGAAGGTCGAATAGCTTCTGTGTATATAGGAAGAAGAGAAAACATACAGATATAGTAGGATCAGTTCAGCCAGCCATGGGACCAAGAGGTCCTTGGGAACAAGTGAGCAAGTTTGCTCCTACTCAGAATATCCTCCATTATGTGAGGTAAGTCATGAATGGCCAAAAGAATTGTGCCACACAGATGACGCATATACTCATGTAAAATCTCAGAGAACTTGTTGCTCCGACGTTGATTATAAATCTTTGTCATGCCTTGATCGAGTTGGGTGCTCTCATCGCTCGAGATCAAGAGAAGGGGAAAAATAGGAGTGCGTGTGTGATGCTCTGGATCGATCGTAAACCCGAACCGGGGCTTTTTGGAATGTCCACTTACAGTAATTTTCCCTGGCGATAGACGCGCTCCCTTGCTTCGAAATCTTATAGTTTCATGCCTGTTTCGTGGCGTCGGGACAACTGTCAAATGATAGTGACATGTAATATGCATCGGCAAGCCACGCACAACTGCTACCTGCCTCGGGCGGTATTGTAATCCGTACGAATCCATGGAAAGAGTTGAATGTCCACGATGCCATACCGAACCTCTCACTAGCTTAGTCTCATATAATTGTCGTTGACCGCAGTCTATTTGTGGTTATTCAGAAACGCAAGCCCCTGGCATTACTGCCACGATGCGATGGCATGAAATGCAGGCAAACATTCCAAGATGCGACTAGATACCGTAGTTGTGGTTGAAGCAACTCTTAAGTTCAGATTAGCGCGACTCAATCTGCTTCAGTCAAGCTGCTATTGGCTCTTCTGAAGATTTCATGCAGCCAAAGTGGAGAAAGCCACACTCCAGACCGCTTGTCGAATTTCCAAGTCAAAGCTGGTCCCTAATCTTATCCTTCTACCTGGGTTATTTTGGCGGCTGGTTATTCCGATGATGGCTACTAGGGCCCCTGCTCACCTACCGTTCGGACGAACGATGATCAACAACACATCAGCTCGATCCACATGATATCGAACCCTGTCTTCCGGTAGTCTTTCATATCAGATACATATGCAAAGATTGCAAAAATTGAGCGTTGGATTGTGTTACTGTCATCCACCGAGCACGGACCGCATCGAACCTTTCACCCGATAGAGCCATGCTTGGGTATCTGGTGCGAACTGAACACATCACTGCTGTTCTCTAATACGAGCAACTTCCATTTCTCAGATACCAGTAGAACCTTGCCAAAAGACCAGACGCCATCAGATCTTAGTGTCCTGACATGTCTGACCGAGAGGGCCGGTGTGCCCCATGCCAAGGTCCACAATAACTGGTACCATTCGGAGCCCAGCCTTCCTTGAGAGAGGCTCAAGGCGTACTCGTGTATATCATGCAGCAGTTGGATAGTATACCAAGTGGCTTTAGAAAACTTTGAATGCATGCATTAGTTTTTGGGCATTGCGGCAGTAGATCTTCTCAGCACGCCCCCCACAGCTCCTTGTTGTCAGATTTCGCGACAGCGAGCGGTCGCCTCATTTGCCAGTCTTGAGAGAGTCGGAGCAGACACAGGAGACGGAGACGTCAGAAATGAATGGGAATATTACTACTAGCAACTTCCCCTCGGTTCTTAGCGACCGGTACTTCCTTCTATGCGGTGTGACTGCCATTCGTCTGGTATTTGAGTAATCCGAGATGATGTGCTCACTCGTATGGCATTAGCAATAGGTTGCATGCACAATAGAATTGTAAAAGAAGTGGAGAGACAGAACCTGGTTTGGGTTTACCGCCGTATGGTCTGTGCACAGTGTAGTGAACTTTGCCCATCTGCCATTGAAGGCAATATTGCGTCTGAGCCACAGTTCCATTTCTGATCTTCAGGCTTTTACCTCTGCAGGTGAGCTGGCTTATCCGGTGTGCAGGTGCCGGTAAGTCCTATAGGCACATGGTTTGACAGTGGGGCCCAAGCACATATCATCTGCATCGATACTGCAGACCCCGGACAAAGTTGACTTGTTCGACATCGCATGGTAGTAAGCTTATATATCACTTTTTGTGGATCACAAACAAGACTTTAGCTTAGCTGCTCATGCAGGTCATCTGCGAACCTTTGTTGATAGCGTTCCCAAGCGCGCTGGCCGACCAGGCAGATGGAATATTATATGGCTAATGATAGAACAGGGAAGAGGCATCCTGCAGAGCCCACTTCCTAGTACACTGGAACTCACATTCTACTCTGGTTTGGAGACTTCGGAGGCCGGGAGTGGGTACAAAATTTCCTGGTCAGAAGTAGAATCACAATGGAGGGAGGGGAAGATAGAATACGTAAGAATTTACCCGGGTATTCACCGACTGTTTAGCAGGATGCAAGTAAAGCTTCTAGTCTTTCTTTTCTTAGGAAGCCCTGGAGACAGATTCCTGTGTTACCTCATTGCCGGGTCGCCACAGGGATCCCATCCTCACCGGTCTCTCCGTGCAGCGGTTCCGAATAACACTCCACCTAACGGCCTTATTAAGAAGAGCTAGATTGATGGATATGAATGTCTGTCTATCAATCCCCAGCAGGTGGGAATGATATGGACTATGTGTTCTGTTCAACCTGAGGGTATGTTAGATATCACAGTATGTTACTGATATAACACCCAAGGTTGAGGCAATTTACCGTTCTTGATAATTTGCGCAGAGGTCTTTGTTGTAAAGCGGCACAAACTGGAGTCACATCTATGACCAAGTTCGAAGGGCACAAGGGTAGCACTGGCTTAAAAATCTGTGTTATGAGTGTGTTTGTCACTTTAAAGTCTGTAGCCGCTCATAATCGAAGTTCTAGGGTTCCTCAGTTTCTCTTCCACTGGAACGTGCGGTAGAACGGTGTTGCCGTTGTGCCATTGCAGTTCATCAGTTAATTCGGAATTAGTTAGATTCATCGTATGACTCAAGTCTTCAATCAAGTCTGGCTGTCAGTCAATCTGTTTCGGAATGCGAAGTGACTCCACTACAGTAATTGAGTAACTGTGGCTGCCTTCAACCGCTCTTTCCCTGCACCACCGCTGTAACATACATACTAACAACCCCATCTATTTATACAGTAACCGCTTGAAGATTAAGATCTCACAGCATTGTACAGCATGTTTACTGTGGTGTCAATTTGTTATTTATTTGTCGCATCCATGACAGGTCCGAGCGTTATTCGGTACTACCATAGGTGAAGAGGGAACAGAATGCCAAAAATAGGTACTCTATATTGACAGTGTACTCGGAAGAAAGACATCAAGGAAGAGAGACATGGTAGGCAATTATTTCCGCAGATTCGCATTAGTTGTAGTTTCAAGTATGCAGTTGGGATTGCAGGCAGGTACTTCAGCGTGATAAGTATTGTTATGCCAAACTATGGAATGTGTCGAACAATCTAGGACATCATCCTTTGCGCTAGACCTGTACTGGACTTTTGGTAGAAGCACAAGTTTCCATTTGACGCATGGAAGCAAATTGAGGAGCTGGCCAATCAGCCTGTCAATCTCAGCCGAGTGATAGTGAAGCGCACGATCTCTTAGTATATATTAAGAATAGCAAAAGCTAATCTACTAATCTGATGTGGCTTTGCATAGCATATCAGGACCCCATGGCAGAAGTGTTACAGATATGCTCGCTGTCTTGTAAGAAAGCACAGAGTTGCAGAAGACTTTTTCGAAACATCAACAATGGAAAATCGCAATTTTCGGTTCTATCGCCTGTCGGAACTTATCATTATAACCTAGTAAGGTTGTCCAGCCCGTTTGGTGCTCACAATAAGCCGTCTATATCTCCTGATGGTGGTCTTTTGCCCCTTTGAGCTGAACCCCAGCCTGATATAGTGGTATAGATACAACAGCCGCAACTAGTGCTACAGTCCGGTTGATCTTGCCGGGGAATCCTCATAAAGTTCGCCTAAAACAGCAAGACATGAGCAGTTGTCATGAAGCTTAGGCATGTATGATGTGCTGCCCAAGCTCAAGTTGGAGCTGCAAACTATCTGGTATGCTTTTGCACGAGGGCACAGGTGCATTCAGCAACTATCAGACATATTCGTGTCATGATGCAGAAATAGCTGTTAGTCACATTTTATTGTAATTTGATTGGATATCTTTACTAGCCATGCAATAGCCTGATTGAAAGTAATTTCATGATCACTACTAAACTGGTCAAGACCTTAACTTCAGCAGTCAATGATGGAAGATGATTTGTTGCGCAGGGTATTCTAACTATGCTCCTTATGCCGCTAACAGTCTTAGGAGAAAAACAGCGTGCTAATTCCTGTCCAATGAGCTTGCTGTAATAGTGGGAAAAAAGCACTGATTGGATAATTTGAATATCTATGAAGATACTACAGTTACTCCAACTATGGCGTTAAGGAGATGAAGTCTTGTAGTAGTAGATTGCTGGCGAAGTGATTCAATCAGAACTGAGTACAGTTATACTACTTACCTACTATCAGCTATAACTGTTATATAATATATACTAAGTAGTAGCTAAGTATCTGCTACTTAGTACTATGGTGCTGAACATCACCACCGAGATTACATCAATGCTTATTCACTGAATGGCTTAGATTTAACACTCTAATGTGGGTAACTAGACTAACTATGTAATGTTGTTGTTTTCGGCTTTTAACATTGTCTTTTCTTTTTTTATCCCTCTTGTTCGGTGTTTCCCGGGACGCGGGAAGTTAGACTCCGAACCGGCGGAGAGATAGTAACTATCTTTTGCAAAAACTCAGTGAAATTAGATAAGAACATGTAGGATCTTTTCGCATTCAATTGGAAAATTTAGTAGTATAAATAAGTAAGTCCATTGCAAAGGGCCGTGTATTGGACTCGGTCCTAGCAAAGCCATCCCTTGCCTGCGATGAAATTGTCGAAGGGAGAATTGATGATACACAATCTAACTACGGAGTAAAGCATTGCGGGAACAACCATTAATAAGAAGGGACAGTCAGACTGGGGCACGTGCCGGCCCACCATCTCCGAAGGCCGGCCCCCCTCTTTGAATGCTGGGTGGATGGATTCCAACTCGCCCAACTGAATCACACCGGCGGCTTAAAAGCAGACCCCACCTTTTCCACCGGCTTCGATTACTTCGTTGCTGTCCCTGCTGCTTACTTCTTCCCTTTCTCTTCCTCTCTCTTGTCCGTCGTTTTTGTTGCCTTCGTCGGGGATTTCCAAGTTTGACAAGGTGCAGCTTCATATAAAAATTGATTTTCATCCCCGTATTCCCTCCCTTATAAAGTGGTCTTGCTGTCCCTGGTGGAACCGGTGAGCCACAGAGTCACGACATCAGTACCTGAGTTGCGTCTGAAAAGCAGGACGTGTATGATTCCTGCTCGAGAGTAATCTTGTTCTCCTGAAGTGGTCTGGGACGTGTAAGTCCAGTTCTCCTACTAAGCAGACGGC